CGGATAGGGCCGCGAGGAACCAAGATTAATCCTATTTGATCGCGACGGAATGGCCATGAGCGCGAACAAAATAGGGGAATTGAAATAATATTTTGAGGAATGTCAGCTATTCCAATTTAGGTTTAATGTACACCAATCAACCTGCTGTGTTAATGATCATCATCAATCTCTACAATCTCAGTCCTCTTATTTTGCTTCTATTTTCCTCACTAAAAAGAAATTTCAAGAACTTACTGTATAGTCTAAGGAGACTGATCTAAATTTTGTTTAAGTAATTCTAAATAGAAATAGGCCGCGACGCTTCTGATGCTACTATAAAATTTTACAAACGGGAAAAGAGTACAGTCTAGCTATTTGTTCATTACGTTGGACGATGGCTGAGGCCTCTGGATTGATTAGTTGCGACAACCTAATTGGCATGTTGGGCGAACCGGCGGAAGTTTTTCCGGCTGAAAATTATGTCCACACGAATGAATAGGAGCTGCCTACTCAGGGAGTAATCAACGTAATCCGAAATGGCGGGGAAACATTAAACACCTATCCATACAGAGTATAGTCTCGGAACGGGCTCGGGTGAGATTAAGATTCTGTAAATGATATTTAATGTCCACCCGTTTGCGAAAATTCGGCAAAATGTAGGAGAAGAAGGAAGGGAGATCATAACTGGCGCTGAGGTTTATCAACGGGAGGATGGAATCCCTCCAGCGAGCGAAATGTCTAAATCACGTGATAAAGTGATCAGAAAGAGACCTATCGGATCATACTTTTCCCTCTCCGACTTAGTTTTTCGAAGCAAGCAGACAGGCGCATCAACGAGCAATTCGGAAATCACACGACCCCACCATGCCCCGCAGGCTGCCTCTGATTAAAAAATATATCTTCACCCCCGTGTACCTGACAGAAGAAAAATTGAATCTTAATGTATTAATTCCGCTGGAACACAATTTCTGTCTTTCTACACTACGGAGCGAATTTCAGGACTCGGTCTGGGTTGATCCGGCTTGGCTCTGATGCAGAACGCGACGAATGTGGGAACGGATAGAGCCGCTGGGCCACTGCCGGGCTAACGGTGACTCTTGACACCTGGGGCCCTGAACCGCGTGGATTAAAATAGTAATAAGCGCGAACAAAATAGGGGGAATTGAAATTGTATTTTGAGGAACGCCGGCTATTCCCATTTAAGATTAATACAGGCCAACCAATCGGTCGTGTTGCAGATGTGGTAAGAGCGTCGCTTAAAGTGCGAAGGCCTTCATAGTTGGAGGATGAAAGCTAGCAAGCGAATCATGATTGGAAAATCCTCATCATCCCCCCTCCAGGTGCGCGGTTTTCTGGAGGGAACATTACATAGATCTTCTATTTGCGGTTGCATAAATGGGACCCTTTCAAGTTTGGCAGGCATCAAGATATTTAAAAAGTGTTAAGGGCGGTATTCTGTTCTTCTAATGTCCATTGAGCTTATTCTGAGTCCTGTTGACCCTGCTCCGCCTCCTGCCGACCAAAAGCTGGAGCAGCCTCTGAATCTCGTCATCGGCCATATATGGCAGGTACAAATATTCAGTGCAATAGGCGAAGTAATGAAGATGTGCAGAAGATGCTGGCGAACTAAAGATGGGAAGCACTCATTTTAATGGACCTTTCAGGATTTTGGTGTGTAGGTACGCTTTTTGACTAGTGACAACACTCATGTGAGATATCAACACCTAGATTAAACACATTTACAGCTTGGACATTGTTTGGAAAGGAAAATGGTTTTCGAGCTATCGTTCCACCAGCTGGCTCATGCACTCGCTTTACCCCATGTAGTCATTTTACCCTCACCCTTCCTTCGCCCTCATTCAACCACGCTCGCCAACGCTCACCAACGCTCACGAGACGCTAAGAGCAAAGGGCTCGCCCAGCTGTTCGCACGTCATCAAACCGAATAGGCGAAAAAATATATATATAAAAAGGGAAAAGAACTTCTTAGCTTGTTGGGCTTCGCTACTCGAATAACTAATCAGCCCATGCTACCGCCAAGGCAGAGTATGCTGAGGTAAGCAATCCCTAACAAAATAACTAACTAACCGGAAAATCTCATTAGCCTCGGAATAATACTCGGAGTTCAAAACAATGGCAGAAAAGATTTACCGCCCAATGCCCCTCCAAATTTTATTTTTGTTTCTGTGCTGAACCATACATATCAGATTTGACATCATAGTAAGTCAGTGTGATATTCAATGTCTATATTTATTCCAGTCGCTAACTGATACCAGAATAATCCTGCTAATAATAACACAAGTTTTCGCACCGCTATCACTACCAGTAAAGCCCGGATGGCTGCCAGCGAGTGTGCCGTTATACCCTTCTTGTCCACCGATTTTGAGGCAAAAAGAGAAGAGGCTTGGAACGAGAGCAAGCCTGTTGTCAACTCTCTCCCAAAGCCTCGGAGGGGCGTAGTCACGGCCTTTCTACCAACTTATGCTTGCTATATCCTAATACAAGCTGTGATTAATAATTACCCACAAATGGTGAGTCCTGTTCGTTATGGATTATAACACGCGGGCTAACATTTATGTCACGCCACATCTTCCACAGCCCATCAACTAAAAACGATATCAAAATACAGACCGGGAGGACTTGTGTTTTTGCCAGGAAAGGCAGATATTGGAAATACATTCACAATTGTGATACCTCTTTATGTATCTGGCATGGTAAAAGTTGGAGGGCAAGTAGTA